TTAAGGGGGTGGGGGGGTTGGCCCTCCCCCATCCGGAGGCTCGCTAGGGGAGAGGAAAGTTTCCCCTTGCGGGAGAGGGGGAGGGCCTCCTTTTGGTCAATGGCCCGAAGTTTTTCCTTGAGGTTTTTTTTTCTGGCAAGGAGAGCCCCCTTTGGGGCCTCATGGTGGCAAACCGTTTTTTGGGGTAAGCCCTGTTTGCCCCCCCCCCCCCCCCCGCCCGCCTTCTGTTGACCCCCCCTGCCCCTCTCCCCCCCCCCCCTGGCCGCGGCGCCGCTTGAGATAGACCATGTAACCCCTGCCTACTCTCGCAGGTGCGAGGGGAACTGAAATAAGACAATGGGCTTGCCCATCCCGGAGTGGTTCGACCCCACACAAACCCGGAGGGGTGATGGGATGCTGTCGCGGCGGTCTCAGGCCCAGTGAGGTAGTGCGCCAGACTATCCCAGATCCTGCTGAACAAGCTCCTCTTGTAGCTCGATCGGTCACACCGCCATCGCCGTCGGGGAGAGGGGGGACGACACTGCCTCGGCAGCGTGCACCTCGATCCTGCACCGTGTTTGTTATGACCCCCCCCAATGAACATACCAGTGAGGGAGGGCGAGACGATCGAGGGGTCCCGTACCACGCGGAATCGGCCCTATCCAGTGCTCAAGTGCTGCTCATGTAAAGGAACTCATTGTTATTTTATTCCTTTGCAGGACGGCTGGTCGGAGCGACGGCCGATCCAGCAGTCGTCTGCGACATGGTAGTGGCCCCGGGTCATGTGCAGCTGGTCCCGAGCGGCTCAGGTCCCAGATCGAATCTCGGACCCACAGATTCTAGATTCCTTTAGATTCCCTGGATTCCCGCAACAACGATCTCTTAGCGGCGGCAAACAGAGGCGCAACTCTGCCAGCAGCGAGGAGGCTCCTGCTGCTCAGCTACCGAGGCCTGGTGGCGTCGGCTGCTGCGTGGAGAAGACAGCAGCACTGTCCGACCTCAAAACATGCACAACAAGCGGGATTTGTGACTCTGTCTTCGATTCTTCAGTCGCTCTGCCGGACGCGCTCGCTTTGTCGCGAGGGTCACCTGTGCAAGCCGTGTGGACGCCCAGAATAGCCTCCCCTGGCTTAGCTAGACTGAGAGATATTGTGCACATGGTCAGCCTCTACAATATATACGCTGACACTTTACCTCCCAGAGCTCGTCTCGGTCCGCCACGGCCATCCTCAGCCTCCGGA